AGAGGGAGAAAAAAAGAAGAAAAATATCTCAAGCAATTCCCTTGAAAACTGGCGAAGGAGTAAGGAAATAAAGTCCAGAAGCCGGCCGAGGTGGCGATCTTCTCGTTTTTGCGTGCTGCCATCTATTGTTTGTCTTCCTTAAGCTCACAAAACAAGTTACCCTAACTTTTTTGTCCGCGTAGTGGTCGCTTTCATCTTACTAACTGATTTGCTGGTGGAGTTTGGGTACATGGCCTATCATTGATGAAACAGTAATAGTGAACACCTTCAAGAAAATGGGGATATGTAATTCTCTTGATGCCGTATCCCCACTTATTTTTAGGATTTTATCATCCGAAAATTGAGAGGGAAAAATTAGGCGAATAATTTAATTTACAAAGGACACAGTCACAGCACTGATATTTATTAATAGCAAAGGCTGCACGTTAAAATATTTACTTAATATAGGGTGACCAGCGAATAAGCCCTGATTTCAAAATTAAATATCTCTACAACAAAGATCGATAGAATTATGCGGTAAACTGTACGTTCATTAGCAAAACTGTAAAAAATTATGTACAAAAGTTTAGAAAATTTAGTTACGAAAATCGTTAACAGATGGCGCTCTGCGCTGAAAAAACTTTCTCTGAAAGGAGTTAAAAAAACTATAAAGTGAAGCAGCTTTTGCAATCAAAATACAGTTTTTTCAAAATGTTCACCGTTCGAAACAATGAGGTGGCGTAAACGAATAATGAAATTTGACATCACGTCTTGCAATGCCTCAACGGAAATGGAATCACATGCAACACCAATCAACGATTCAAGCTTATCCAGAGCAGCGGGATTGTTTCGATAGACAGTGTCTTTCAATGTGCTCCACAGAAAGAAGTCGCAAAGACTCAGATCGGAAGAATATGGAGGCCAAGCTATTCCTGTGTCAGTAAATTGCGGATAATTTATGCAATTTCTCTATTCCCAAAGTATTCATGAAGAAAGCGGAAAACTTTATCTGTTCGATGTGGTCGAGCCCCATCTTCCATGAACCAGTCGATACCTGGTCGAAACTCCAACGCTAGTTGAATGCTGACAAATTGTTCCAAAATTGTAACATAACGTTCAGTAGTTATCGTTTCTCGTACGAAAAATGGTTGGATAATGCTTCTGGCGCATACCGCAGCCCATTAACTTTAGGCGAATGCAGTGCTTTCTCTTAACACAAATGAGGATTTTCGGTCCCCCAAAATCTCCAGTTTTGTTTATTAACGATTCCATTCAAATGAAAATGTGCTTCATCTGTGAACCAGATGCAGCTCACATCAAATCTGTCGTTGTCGACCATCGTTAGAATCTGATTCGCAGAGTCAACCTTTTGTTGCACAGCATTCATGGGTTGGTCTGATGACTTTGGATTTTGTATGGAAACAGCCGTAGGCTATTTTTTAATATTTTTTGCGTGCTCGTGCTTTACTTCAAACCTGTCTCTGATGTCATCCGTCGGATGCTTTTCCTAGGATTTTGATCTGAACAATTCCAGAAACTTTGGCTGCATTTTCAGGAGTGACTACAGTTTGCCTAGGCCCAACATTTCCCTTTCGATCCTCAGCCACGCTGCCAGCCCGTTCAAATTTCACGAAGAGTATGCGAATGGTTTTCGCATCAGGTCCAACTGGAACATTGAATCGGTTTTGAAAACTGCGACGTGTTGCGTAGCATTGTGTTCTAATCGGTAAAATTCAAAAACCTAAAAAACACGTTGTTCAATGGAATACATTATTTCACTTTCTACGCTAGCCTTTTTTCACTAGCCAGAAGTCCTACTGATCATTTTCGAATTCAAAGCACATTTTTAAAAGCTATTGATAGGTCATTGCAATTAGAGCTCCATCTATTAACGATTTTCGTAACTAAAGTTTCTAAACTTTTGCACACCATTTTTACAGTTTTGCTAATAAACGTACAGTTTACCGCATAATTCTATCGATCTTTGTTGTAGAGATATTTAATTTTGAAATCAGGGCTTATTCGCTGATCACCGTGTACATACAACAGTCCAAAACGCATGAGAATAATCTGCATAAAATGAACAAAAAATATTTCAAACAGTAATTTTAAAAGTTTTGTTACGTACCTCCGCTATGCAACCAACAGGCACTCAGGCATGTTTTTTTTTTCTGCGACTAGCTTTCAAATGCTTTTCTCCTGATCTCCAGTCAGTTACGTGATTTTTCCGCTCAGCTTCTGAAACATTATCTGTAATGCTACAGGCTAATGATCTGTACTCGCCCCATTTCGCTTTCAAACTGTTAACATTACAGGAAATTCGGGTGTAACTTTTTAATTTCTGTAACTTTACAAAACTTTTGCCTGTAAAGAACGACCTTTTTTTTTACAGTGTGGAATAAAATTTGAGCAAGATTTTCTTAATGAAACAGGACCACATTAATGCTACACATGGGTAACAGCACAGAAATACCTACGTTGTCACCCCTTTCATCAGGCTTGAATATAATCCCAATTGTTCAGTGAGATTTGCCTTCATTTCACGGTCAATCGCTACTTATTTTTACTAAGGTAGCAAAAACAATGTTTTTCTCATCTCCAAATATGACCCCTCCAATTCCATTTAACAAATGCTCTCACACAATTGAATATAAAACTCTTTGCTAAAGGTCTGCAGCAGTGAGTTCTTGTGGAGCTCAAATACAAGCACGAGAAAATTTTCAGTTTTTTCAACCCGATCTAGCATACCAGTGGCCTAACTGTTAAGACCGCAAAAAACTGGTAATTCAATCTTGTTTGGATCTGATCCCAGGCAAACGGATTATCCGCATAGATGGATTTCGTGAGTTTTCCCTTGTATAATGTGAATACCAGCTAGTTTCCCTCAGAAAATCCTCCACGAAGGCATCCCTTTTCTTACATAGAAAGCCTCGGTGCTTTGTAGCATTCAAATAACCCAACCTGGACTTCAAGTGATCGACCATTCTGTTTAAATAATTAAGCTGAATGTAAAGTCATATGCTAAAACTTACAGTAAGGTAATTTGGATTAGATTCAAAACTGGAATTTCTACTTTGGGACTTTTAAACGCAAACTTTGAAGCAACATTGACATAGAATATCGGCGCAGATTGGAAAAATCTTCCACTAGCTTTTCTGCAATACTTACCTTCAAGAGAAACACAGATGCAGGCTGTGAATTTTAATTCATATTTTGATTGCAAAGTCATTGTATACACAGATGACTTTTCGTAAACCATAGTCTTGCATTACTTTTTGGTCAATCTAATATTAGGCTAAATATGTATAAATTCATACATGCTAATTTCTACAGATGCCGCGATAGAGAAGGAGTAAGAATATGGGAGGGGCTTGCAGATGAATGCGACTCAGAAGATATTTCCACTAGAGGGTTCTGACGTCCTCTGACGCTGCCTTTCTGACGACGCTGCATTTTCGAATGAATTAAATTACTATTTGCTCCTAAATCTAATTGACGGCAATTCGTTGCCGCAGAAAAATTATTGTTTTTAAACTGCACTGCAGTTCAGGGAGATAATTTAATTTATAAGTGTATATTTTTAATCAATCTTCTGGAGATAAGAGTTTCCGTTGCACATGAAATATCAATAGGATATAAATTAAAATTGCTGCACAATATGGTTTCCCTTCGTAGACATTTCTCGTTATTCTTGATAGTATTTGAATATAAATAATTAGAGTTCGAATAAGTAAATTCTTTGTATTGTTTCCAATTACACTTTCTTGACATTCCGTTTTCAGATTTGGAAACTATAAAGGACCCTTAGAGTATTTAGGATGCCTTTGAGATATAGGAAATTGAAGCTATGTTAAAAACACCCTAATCTTCAGGTCCATGTAAGAATCTCATAATTAGCATACAACTAAAGAAAAGCTGACCTGAAAAATGTAACTGAAATTTCTTAAACGGCTTCATTTCCAAAATACAAGAGGAATAATGGACTGTTTTTTATGAAATATGCCAATTTTAATGCTGTTTCTAGAAATATTTCTTCAGTTCAATTTCTATCAAATTACTCAGACGTTTTGCTTTTCTGCTTTCAATCAAAGCTGCAATGATATACTCGCATATATGTGAATATTAGGAGATGAAGAGACATTATCGTTGGAAACAATGCATAAATAAAAGTTTGATTATCATACGTTACGCGCTTACAATGTTCACGTATACATAAGCAGAAAACAAGATCGATACACACAAAATATTGGTAATATTTCATGATTCAAATTTCTTCTCGTTTTGTCTCTACTTTGTTCTATGCGAACCTTAAACGAACGCTGTGGCGGGATTTCTGTCTTAAAAGACAAAGTCCTCGGATATTTGCCATAGTTAACTAATTTATTCCCTTAAATTTACAATTAAGCGAGATTTCCATGCCTTCAAATCTTTCTCGACGTATGTGCCATCTTTATTGGTTAAATAATCTTGTGATATGATCTTTAAACAACAGTTATTATTGTCTTCCAGTCTTTTGTATCATATCGCATATGATAGAAATAAAGGTAAAAAAATATAAAACTACAGGTCATTGTAAATAAACTAGCTATTCTTTAATATGATAATTTATTTATTTCTAGTGTCTCTGTACTAAACGGTCTCTGTGAACAGCATTGACTTTTCCTTAAGTTGGATCAGTATCTTATTTAGAACTGTAATATTTATGATTTGAGAAACATAATTTATTAGAGAAACGCCACTATTTCAAATTCCCCATCATATAACTAAAAGTTTCAATTTGAGTCATCATACGCAAGAGTTAAAAATTTAAATTTAAATTTCTTTTTGTGTAGTAGTATTAGCAGAACCACAACTACATTTCATACTAGAATTACATATTTCACACACTTGAGGCTTCTCTAGTTACTTTTTAAAAGAGATTATACAATTTACATATAATTTCACTAAAATTATTTACACATATGTAGAATTTGTTATAATATAAAATCAAATTCTTTCTCACACTATTTAAGTATACATACCGCCAATATTTTCTAGTGGGGTATCGCAGGAGATACCTTTGTAATTCTCTTCGCACCTGAAATTATAAAATACGTTAGTTCCTTAAACCAAACAGGAATGGGGGGGTTACGAGTTTGAAATATTTATTTCTTTGAACTTTTGTGGCAACGCTGCGCAAGCGCGAGTGGAGATCGTCTAGGCAACGAGGAAGAGAGTTTCACTCTCAACCTACGCAGTCATTAAGCAACGATGCTTCTGTTCTCGGTACGAAACATGTAACTGTAATTTCTGTAATTGTAAATAGTTCTGTTCATTAAAGTTTTTGTTGTAAAACTAACTTACAGTCTACTAATTCGACGGATACACGTAACGGGGGGGACTTCTTATTTGCAGTTTGAATGCGGTCAGTCTTTTATTTAACTGTTAAGTACTTAGTTTTAGTTTAAATATTATACTTAGTTTATATATAAGGTATATTTTAATTTTATGGCAGTTATTTTAATTTAAAAGTGGTTTCCTACCAATTTTTGTTTCCACTTACTACTCCCTACCGGAATGAGTTTTCAGAATCGCGTTGAATGCAAATGATTTAGAGGAAGTGTTTAAGGAATGTTCAGCTTACTTCGTGAGAGAGAGCTAGAAATGCTGAGTAGCGTGTGTTGCCTTCGGGCTGTCTCTCTTCACGTTCTTACGCTCGGCCATATATTCGCCGACTAGTGTAAATCAAGGGTCTTTTTATATTCGCCGACTAGTGTAAATTAAGGGCTAACTACGTTAGATACTTGTGTTAGCTTCGGCTAAGTCTCTCTTAGTTAGTTATAGTTTAGTTCTTATTTCTTATTCTGAGTTTAAGACCGAGTGGAGGCTTTGTTATAAGCCCGAGAAAGGGGCCAACTGCTATTCTTAGTTGAGTGAAATAAAGGGTATTTTAACTCTTTCTGAGTCTACATCTTTAGTTATTTGAAATCAGCGATAAGTCGCTAAACAGTTCACTAGGTTCCCCGACGTTTACTTTAGATAAAAAGAGTGAGGAACCTTACAACGAGTGTAAAAACTACCTTTTTCAAGTTTTCATCTTTAATAAAATTTTAAATATTTTTTTGTTTAATTCATTTTCTTGTTTTCTATTTATTTATTTCTGGTTTTTATCAAAACAATCTAAATTCACGTAAATTTATATGCATTTTCAGAGAGGGGAAAGATCGTTCAGCAACGGCAAAAGAGGTGCATAAAAAAAAGTTGAGAACCACTAGTTTCAATATTAATAATGAGATATGTAATAGAGGAAAGCTTTTCGTTTTATCAAACTGATTGAGGATTAGAATTAAATTTGTTTAGTAAATAATAGTAATTCAGTAATATTATTAGAAGTAGTGTTGTACAACTGTTATTTTGTGATATCGGGTACGCAAGGTGCTGACTTGAAACTACTCATAGCCACGGTAGTAAAACGCCTGTGTCACTCACTGGAAGATCGGAAACAGTTTAAAAAACCGCGCGTCCCTGTAATAGTGCATTAAGAAGAGCAGTGAACTGTTATAGGATATTTGTTGTCGGAAAGGATGAAATCTAAACGTGTTCATAGTTTGATAATATTCAGCAATATGACAATTGCATAAATCATATATAATATTGATAAAAATACTGAGAAGTTTAAGTTCAAACTCAGATTATGTAGGATTTTTTACGCTCGGGATCAGTAGTCACGGAAGGTTCTGGGGTTCTGGAGAATACAGTACTATGTCCGAAATCCGGAGTTGTCGGGACTTCGACTTTCGGGACTAAAGAAAAATAATTTAAATTACCAAAACATCTATGGTATATATTTCAAAAACTATATAACTTGTGGAGACATTAGGTTATTTCGAAGCAGGGAATAGGAAAAATGAGCAATACCTTCTCCGGGACTCGAACCCCGGACTTGTCGATTTTAAATCTCTGTAGAAATTTTACAAGGTGTTTGGCTCCTAACTTAAATAACAACATTGAAACATCAATTTATAGAAACTGATGTTAGATACACGTCAAAAGTAAGTAAAAATAGAGTAAAAAAAGAAAAATTAATTATTGGCAGTTACAGGAAAATAATCTAGCACAGTGGTATAAAATACAGTACAATGTCCGAAATCTAGAGTTGTCGGGACTTCGGTGATTCCGGATTTGGGATTTTTCGGGATATTAGATCATCAGTGTTAATCTAGTAAGATGGTATGTAGCAATTATAAAATTAAAAATATGAAATCGTGATTTATGAAATAATGAACTATATATGATCTAAAGGGTATCAAAATCTACAATAAAAGCTTAACATTTATTGGTGTAACTTATTAAACATTTCTTTCAATGTAAGTTGTTTAAGTTGCTTCTTTTTTCGTGCTAATACTTTCTCTTTAATTCTGTAGACAGACATAATCTCTTGTTTAGTTACATTGTTAAAATCATGTAACTGCCGTGTCGAGAAATCCGACTAACTTGTCAATCGGACTTTTTTCGTTTTCAGTAACTTCTCTGTCACTTTCTTACTATCGGTAGCGATATTTCTGGATCTACAAATTTCGCCATTCATTAATTGATTGATGATCGAAAAGCATTGTCATCACAATATAAAAATTATTTTATATCATCTTCATTTATTACCGTTTCTCCACATTTCTTTACCAAATCCGTTAACTGGAAAATTTCACCTGTGTTTTGCGATATCCGAAAAAATTTTAAATTCGCGGCTATCATCATCAAATTTAGCTATCGTTCACGACTATTCATATATGGATATTCATAATGAGATTGGCGACTAACGACATGTAGTTTCGTTAAATTTTATCTTTCTACTATCACGCGCTCAATTAAGCCTGAATTGTATTTCTTTAGTCATTTATTATACTTATGTCTGTTTCTTGCACATCCTTAAGACTTATCAGAGATCTGAATAAATAAATCCCCACGTATACATAAGCCTTATTGAGGGCCGGCGCTAGATATCTGATGCAGTCTATGTGGGTTCTCAATTCTCGACCCGGTGCGGCCATATGAGCCCTGGCGTTGGTTCTGGGTTTATGTGAATAACAAATCAGTTATTCTTAATTCAAATAGCCCTAAATGTAATCTTTGGGTCTATGAGTAGTATCAACAAAATCTATTTAAAGCATATAGCTTCGTGAACAAAGTTCATTTTCTTTGGGCGCCTGGGAAGATTCCCTATCCTAATGTAACATGTAGGGAACTTTTCGAACATTAAATAGCATAATAGAAGTCCTAAATATCAGAGTTGAAGTCGGAAGAAAATTTGGTAGATCTGTAGTAGCAGGGGGATTGAAGAGAGTTCGTAGAAGGTAAAGGTCGTCTTTATAAATCCGTAAGAAGTGTTGAAGCCAGATATTCATTGTAGTTACTCTGTGAAGAAAGATGTGCAGACGTCAGCGATGAGGTTCCGTAGCTGGGTGAATAGTCAGGAGTAAGGGTTGGATGATAATCTTCGCTAGAGCCAGGAGAGATACTGATAGGGCATAGGCTAAGATTCAAGTTTGTGCTCTAAGGGGGAGGGGCTAGAGACTGTTTCCAAACCATACAAATTTAGAAGGGCGGCCGAATGGTAATGAGGAGGAGGGGTTAATTTGGTATCAGAGCCTGCTGAACTTAGAGGTATATTCTACATGTCCATCATGTGATATACATACATTGAAGATAAATTAATTCTATTTTATCAATTATTCACTACAACAATAAAAACTAGCTAAACACATACAAATTCTTAGAATAATGAGCTAATGGCAATTTATTCATTAAGTTCTTCCATTATTAAGAATAGTATATATAGTTTCTCCATCTGTGTTTTTGCAGCGCGTAGCTGACTGAGGTTTTTGCTAATTATTGCTGTCAGTTTAGATCTTTGGATAAAGCCAAGGATGGACTCTAATTCCTTAATAACCTTAAACAACTCTAAGAATCCGGCTGAATTAAAATTTTCATCTTATCTAGACTTATTTGATTCTCCATTGGTGTTATTTGCCTGTTTTGTTTCTGATGTTCTGCTTTTGGATGAGGGATAGTTTGGTTCCATAACTGAATTAGCTGTTGACTTTTCAGATTGAAATTGTTTGGGCTTTTGCACTTTACTGTTCAATATTTCAGAATATGATATTTTTGGCACTTATGAGATTGTTAACTTTGGGTTTTGGAAACTTTTCACACACCCTATATGAGGCCGGATGAGAATTGTTACAATTGGCGTAAACGGAGTTTTCAATGAATCCTTTTTGGGGACATAATGCAGATTTATGTTCCCCGGCGCATTTCACGCAACAGGAAGCTAGGAAACAGTTATCAGACGAATGGTGCCATCGCTAATAATTATGACACTGGGGAATTAAATTCTTATTTACATACTTATCTATTTTAACTATGAATAGTGACATATGGGTAACATGATATATATTTTCAACATTAGGGGTAGGTATTATCTGAACTTGAAAAAGTGGCATTAATTGCCTTGTCCTGCTCCTAGTCATCTGAGTAACTTTTTGGATTTTATAGTCTTTGTAGTGTTGCTTCAGTTCCGTTAAGTTTCTAATGAAATTTAGTTAAAGCGAAAATGGCAACACCTTCTAGTCTCCGCGAAGAACGAAGTAAACAAACTTCGAGTTTTTGTCACGCGATGCTACGTGCATATAAAATGTAAATAAATCTTATGAATAAGAATCTATAACATCGTAAGGAATAAAATATTGGTTCCATTGGAGTCAGAGAAGTGTTATTTTTCTAGATTTGCACACCAGACACTTCACTAGTGTATCCCGGCGTGATCGAATTCTACAATGGCTGACGAAGACGAAACCGAAATTAAAGCAACAACTCCATCTATCGCCAAGGTAAGCGTTAAAGTTCCTCCTTTTTGGAAGCCAGATCCTAAAATATGGTTTATTCAACTAGAAGCACAATTTAGAAATGCAAAAATAAATGCAGATCAAACAAAATATGATTATGTTATAAGTTCCATTGAACCCGAAATTTTGTCACAGGTATCTGATATTTTGCTAAGTCCACCACAAGATAATAAATATGAGGCAATTAAAAATAGACTAATTTCATTATATGCTGATTCAGAGACTCAAAAAACCCAAAAATTACTGAGTGAGTTAGAACTGGGTGACAAAAAGCCATCTCAATTACTGTGTGAGATGCGTAATTTGGCTGGCAGTAAAGTAACAGATACTTTCCTAAAAACATTGCGGATACTATGTTTACCCGTTAATATGCGTAGCATTATATCTGTTAGTAGTGAAGATTTGTCAAAAGTGGCTACAATGGCCGATAAGATTTGGGAATTAAACCCTGTTACTCCCCAAATAGCTGCTGCATCATCCATAACGGTAAAAACGGAAGTGATTGAAAGTTTACAAAAACAGGTTAGTGAATTTAGCTTACAAGTTTCTGCTTTAAACAAGCAACGCCACAGTCGTCGCTATTGTCGTAACCGATCCAAATCCAGAGATAGGAGTTACAGTGGTAACAGATGATGAGTGATATTTGTTACTATCATAAAAAATTCGGTGATGAGTGATTTAAGTGTAAACAACCCTGCAACTACTCATCAACATCACAGACAATTAGTCCGGAAAACCAGCTCCCCGTCTCTCATTGACGACGGACGGACAAGGTTGTGCAGCTGAGTCGTCTTTTCATCAGCGACAAAGAATCGGCTACCCAATTTTTAATAGATACTGGGGCAGAAATTTCTGTCATTCCTCCCTTGCCTGCAAATAAAAAAACATCTCAAAATTAGAACTCTTTGCTGCAAATGGTACGAAAATTAAAACATATGGCCAAAAATTACTCAAGCTTGATCTTGGACTCAGACGATCATTCACATGGCCTTTTGTAATTGCGGACGAAGTAAACAAACCGATAATAGGCATGGATTTTCTTGCAAATTTTAACCTTTTGGTAGATTCTAAAAATCGCAAGTTGATTGATGGTACTACATTCTTAACAACCAATGGAACTCCTTGTTTTCAAAATAACAATAATAATATTCCGATTTTAAATGCCGCAAATGATCCATATAAATGTATAATTAACGATTTCCGGATTTGTTAAAACTGAATGTAGTTAATAATAAAGTTAAAAATCATAACATCGAACATTATATCGAAACCAGAGGTCCACCAGTTTTCGCTAAAGCCAGGAGACTATCAGCTGAGAAACTTAAATTCTGAGAGCTGAGAAAAAAAACTAAGCGGCTAAAAAGGAGTTTGAATTTGTGCTCCAAATGGGTTTATGCAGGCCATCCAAAAGTAACTGGTCGAGCCCACTACATCTCGCTATGAAGAAATCAGGTGATTGGAGACCTTGTGGAGACTATCGAGCGTTAAACAACGTCACGATTCCTGATAGATACCCTCTCCCATTTTTAACAGATTGCAGTTCCATTTTAGCTGGAAAAAAAGTTTTCTCATCCATAGACCTCATTAGAGCGTACCAACAAATTCCAGTTCGCGAAGAAGATATACCGAAAACGGCCATTCTCACTCCCTTTGGCTTATTCGAGTTCCCATTCATGACGTTCGGCCTACGAAATGCGGCCCAAACGTTCCAACGTTTCATGAACAGTGTGTTGAATGGACTAGAATTCGTGTTTTGCTATTTGGATGACATTCTAATAGCCTCTCCAGATGAAGAAGAAACTCATCGAAAACATATACGAGCAGTCCTCGAGAGACTAAACGAATATGGCCTGTGTATTAATGCGGCAAAGTGTAAATTTGGTCAAACAAAACTTGCATTCCTGGGATACGAAGTGTCAGCTGAAGGACTTAAACCTCTCTCAACGAAAGTTGATGCCATCAAAAATTTCCCAGAACCAAAGTCATTTACTAGTTTAAGACGATTTTTAGGTATGGTGAATTTTTATCACAGATTCATACCAAATTGTGCGAAATTGCAACAACCTTTAACAACATTGCTCAGTGGTATTAAAAAGAACTGCAGAAAAAAGAAATAACCTGGACGGCAGAAAACAAGAAACGCCTTCCAGATCTTAAAAGATGCACTTATTCATGCCACAAACTTAACTCACCCATCCGAAAAGGCTGAAATATCGCTAACAACTGATGCTTCCGATACTGCCATTGGAGCCGTTTTACATCAGATTGTGAATAATGAAAAACAACCCTTAAGTTTCTTTTCCCGAAATTTGACATCAGCACAACAAAAATATAGTGCCTACGACAGAGAACTCTTAGCCATCTATACAGCAGTAAAACATTTCAAATACATCTTAGAAGGGCGAACTTTTGCAATATACACGGATCACAAACCACTAACATTTGCCTTCCAACAAAATTTGAAAAAAGCTTCGCCACGACAAGCTAGACAACTGTCATATATTGGCCAGTTCTCAACCGATATCCGATTCATACAAGGGCATGAAAATACCGTCGCTGACGCTCTCTCTCGCATAGACACCATTTCTGTACCATCTGCAATAGACTTACAAACTATAGTAGACTGTCAAGAAGATGAAAATTTGGAGACACTGAAAAGCAACCCAAACTTAAAAATCCTACAGATCCCTATGCCAGACAGCGACAAGAAAATTTACTGTGATACTTCTACAAATTATAATCGACCATACATCCCTGCAAAGTTTCGGCAGAAAATATTTTCGTCAATCCATAATTTATCTCATCCTGGAATAAGATCCACGAATAAAATTGATAACACGAACGTTTCATATGGCCCAATATGAATAAAGACTGCCAACTATGGACTAGAGCATGTTTATCTTGCCAAAGATCTAAAGTTCACAGACATCACACATTCATCTTTGGGAGAATTCAAAGTACCTCCACACAGATTCCAGCATTTAAACATAGATCTGGTTGGGTCCGCTACCTCCTTGCAAAGGATTCAAATATCTTCTAACCATCATCGATCGTTATACACGATGGATCGAAGCGGTACCGTTAGAAGATCAATCAGCAGAATCTATTGCTAAAGCTTTGATTTATACTTGGTTTTCACGCTTTGGAATTCCGAATCGCATAACATCTGACCAAGGTCGGCAATTTGATAGCCAACTTTTTCAAGCTTTAGGAAAATATCTTGGTTTTCATACAAACACTACAACTGCGTACCATCCACAGGCAAATGGCCTGATCGAAAGACAACACCGAACTTTAAAAGCAAGTCTCAAATGTCATCTACTCGAATCAAAATCATGGCTGGAAGCATTGCCTTTCGTTCTTTTAGGCATAAGATCTGCCATCAAGGAAGACTTAGGTTGCTCATCCGCAGAACTTGTATACGGAACTCCTTTAGCATTACCTGGTGAATTCTTTTCAACAGTACCTCATATGAAACAGTCTGAATTTTCTCAAAACCTTCAGAAAATAATAAGAGCTATGAAGCCAAGTTCTACCACCACCCATGGAAATAGAACAGTCTTTGTTTCTAAACATCTTTCCAACTGTTCTCACGTATTCCTATACAAAAACATTAATAATTCGTCGCTACAGCCTGTCTATCTTGGACCGTATCCTGTAAGAGCAAGAAAGGATAAGTACTTCGATATTGAAATCCAAGGAAAAGTTAAAAGAGTTTCAATAGACAGACTAAAGCCATGTTTCCTAGTGCGAGATTCTGATATTCCTTTTCAAAACTCCCATTCCAAGAAAGCGGAACTTGGGGAAACACCTGCACTCAAGAACACTGAAGAAAATTCAGAAACTCATCATGAAACCGTCGAAAACTAGTGGCAGCAGGTAAAAGGAATTAAGCCATGCGAACCAGCAATAACTCTGGGGAGCAGACGCTTAAGCAACAGAGGTGAAGGCAAATAGCCGAACTATCTCTCTTTCCTACTGAAACTCGGTTTTTGATCTCTTTCTTCAACGTAGAATTTACATTCCTTGACGCGCGCTACCAAATTTAAATACGCTGGCACTGACAATTAGGAGATGAAAGCTTATAAGAAAGACTAACAAATTAAATAAATTGATTATTTAAAATAAATATAAATCCTTACAACCTACTCTAAATTTTACATTAATATTAGTAAATTTTGATTACATGCAGTTTGTTCACATTAAAGCAATTTTATAAGAGAAAATAAAAAAGTGCTGAGGAAAGCTGTAAGATTACTTACTTGCAAAATACGCCTTTTCCTACAGTTCTAAAACACGTTCCATGCACACATGGATAAATACTGCATGCATCTGACAAAGAAGCAGAAGCAAATTTCAGAGGCAAATGAGGACAGGAATAAATTTAGTAAAATGTTAGCAAATATTGCACTGGCTATTATTAATTAGGGAAAAATCATAAAAATGACAATTACCCAAAAAATTACACTTATAATTTAATGAAACTAATCCACAGTATACAACACATAATAAGGTATATTATAACATGAAAAGAAATTACCAGACAATTATGGTGTTATAGAAATTAGCATACGTATAAAATGAACAAATCGGATGTGTCAGTTTGGTACAGAAAAATAAGTTTCGATATGGAGTATGATCGCCCCTAGGAACAATACCACATATACATGTGCGATGCTGTTAATTATGGAGTCTCATTTCCATAGGAAAAGAGAGGAATTGATTTTTTTCACAGTAGTTGTAAGCGTAGCAAGAATCTGAAGACGAGGATTGAGATCAGCTATACGTGTTCCTAAAGCAGGCCAGACATGCTCGACAGGATTCAGGTCTGGTGATCGAGTTGGCCATTACATGTACTGAATTGTTTCCTGCTGAAGATAATCTTCGACGATGGCTGTGCGGTCCGGCGCTGTCGATGTGTAGCAGAAAATTGTCACTTACACTCGGGCATGAATGCACACATAAGCCTCCATGATGTTATCTTTATATGCCTGAGCATTCATGGTTCCGCATGAAAAGATATGGAGGTAGGCCTTGTGAGTCCACTCATTAAGATACCAACCCAAATACAGAAAATACTTTCTTCGTATGCATCCCTTTCACGATTGTTTGAAGAATAATAAAGGGTTCTAATTTCTCTCCTAATCAAATAACGCCTATTATCGTTTTGAAGGCTAAACCTGGACTCATCCTTAAAGAGGACAACTCCTCCATTGGTGAGCTGTCCAGAGGACCTCTTGATATGCCCACCTCAACCGTTCCCTTCCGTGACGTGACATGAGCGGCACACAAATGGTTGGTCGCCTCGCGTTTTTATCGCCTTTCTATATTTACAATTGCGTTATTTATTTTGTTTCGCTTTTTTCAGAAAGAACAGATAATCCTTCTGGGAGAACAGAGTACTGTGCACAGTTGTACCCCAGATCTGACAAAGTAGGATAATTTCAAATAATTTTCGATTAACAAACGCTATTAGCAAAATTTCTAAATTTCACAATAAGCTTATTATGAACTCTATTTAGTTAAAGTTATCGTATATGGAAAAATAACATGTAAAGAATATTCGTCTCTTTTTGTATATTTACGGAGAGTTATATTTTCGGTTATTATAAACCAAACCTACCGTTAATATGACTCAAACAGAGATAAAATATAAAAGGAAATTTTGAAATGGTTTTATGATAATGTTAAAATGAATATTTAGACAAGTGAATGAAACACAGAAGTAAATCAAAGCATGAAATAAATTAATATCAAAGGACATAACACGCTTTAAAGTATACAGTACATCTATGCGACAAATAAAACAAATCAAATTAAGTTATGAATTACAGTCTCTCTAAGGTATGTAAACAAATTAATACTGACTTCTTTTCGAACTAAGCGATGAGGAATTAAGCAACAATTTTTAAAATATTTCGAATGAAATTTTTTAATATATAAGAAGTTTATGACAATATGACGCACCAATAAAGGTGAGTACAAGGGCTCCTTCTCACCTTCAGAAGATAATTATGAGTGGCGCGAAAGTGCCCATTTCTAAGACGAATTATAGTAACCTCGTTCCTGCTGTTGCTACTAGCCTCTCAATAATCCACGTGAGATTTGACGTTTCTCAACTTACCATGCAGCTGCATATGCCAGACTCGCTGTTATGTCTTCAAAATTTTCTCGCTGATAACAGTGCGCATATCTCTTAAGAGAATAAACTACCAGCTAAACAGCAGACTTTTGCTATCGTGCCTGCTAACTAATTTCCTTAAATATTAACATGTCTGGGAACCAAGCAGTAAAGATTTTGGTAACCATGATTTGAGATTTAGAATATCATATAACACTGAATTCTGTGGATTTGAAAATATTTCTAGAGTTTTTGGCACACTTTATTATTCAGTATAAATTATAAAATTTGTCTGACATTCCCTAGAAATGAAAGACCATAAAAACAGCAGTTAATTCGGAAATGAGTACAGAGCAAATGTGCAATTTTATCTACCTCCATAGTGTTTAATTACAAAAGCTGGTCTAATATAACTAGTTGTTTTCGATCCATATATAAGGTATGCGACTACTGTACTAAATAGTATATAGTACAGTATACAGGGGTATGCAACTGTTGTACTTAATTCTATCTAAAAAATCTGCATGTAAAATCATGTCATTAGTACTCATTTTGGGAGGCCCGGTGGCGCAGTGGCTAGCGCATTACGCAGCAACACCACAAGCCCGCGGTTCGATTCTTGGGCTGGGCAAGGTCGATTCAGGCGTTCATTCCTTGATTTCCATTCCTTGGGTCGACCAAAGAGAGTACCAAGTTCGCTTGGGGTCTAAACACTGGGGTCCTGCGACAAGCTGAACACATGTTCAGGTCATACGCTTACGCCCCCCGGAGCCCACGGTCAAGAAAGCAGATTTCGGGGCACTACTGGCCCTGTCCCACTAGGGCTCTTGCGCCACGCCACTGAGTTTAGTTTAGTACTCCTTTTGTCCGGATGGAAAGTATTAAGAAGCCGGATTTTTGGATCCTGAAGAGGATTTCAAAATGCATTTACTCTTGAGTGTTTCCATCAGACAAGCAAACCTATTAAATAAAAGATTGAAACTTTGGACAGAAAGAAGATACACAGAATGGTCTCGCTTCAAATATGTTATCACACATATCAAGTAAAGAAATGTTACCAGATTAAATATAAAGAGTAATCCATTTCTCTTTCGCTTATTGAAGATGTAATATTATTTTCTCAAATAATGTTTTGTCATTTGTCTTTTCTTTACAATTTGTTTTTCATGCAATAAACTACAGTTATTCTCAGTAACGTGTGTTGAAATATTAAATTATTAGCTCATTGAGTTTCTCAAACTTAATAAAGATGTTATTTTTAACCACCTTTTGTGAATCATAATTTTATTCTTCTTGAAGCTTAATTTCGAGCGAGATCTATTTAACTTCTTTCTATCTATTGATTGGAATATGCGATTTTACGTTAATTTTTTTAAACAGCACTTAATAACATTCTTTTCATGAGCACTTTTGTCATACTAAAAATTCTATTTTTCAAATCATCGTAATTCTTAGTTTAAATTTTAAACTGGAATTTGCATTCATATAATGATTATTTGGAAACAACCTACTTTTAGGAAGCAATATAGTTTTGGATTTTAATTAACAATCAAAGAATACAAAAATGTTAATTAATTATTACACTGAATAAATTATTCACCTTTGCATTCTCCATCAATTTCTAGGTAACCATCTCCACAGGCGCACCGCTTAAAACCGTATTCATCACGGAAACAAGTTGAATTTTTTCCACAGTAGCACTCTGTAAATATGCAAACAAACGTACAGTCTTTGCTTGAAACACTTTTATCTTGAAACTCTTTCTACAACTACTGCATACTACGTGGATACTCACTAATTCGAATTTAAGGAAGATCATAGTTGTCTAAGAAAATCCAAAACTAAACTATGAAAAAAAAGTATTAAAATTTATGAAAAAAATCCAAAATATATTTTAAAATTTTACAAAGTAAATCTTTTTTTGCTTTCAAAAGTCAGTATTTATGTTATATATATATCCAAATACAAATGTTTATAATATGCTAAGCCATGACTGATTAATTAATGCTAAACCATAACCATGAGTGATTGTTATTTTCAGAAAACTCCACTTATTTCAGGAGAGTTCACTTTAAAGTAGCTCTGATTTATTATTTGGCGAACTATATGGCTACAAGTGATTGACAGTTATTTCCTCGGTTACCCTTGATTTCATTTCCTTGGGCTACTGGGTTTCTGAAAATTCCTGAAGTTTTCTATGTTCTGCGATGGTCTTATATTTATGTAAAGAATTATGATCAGTTAATAATATGCTGTCCGTTTTTTAGACAACCTTTCCCTTTTTTTTCAATGAGTTTCATAATTCCTCGTTCACAAAACAATGTAGTTTTATCGGAGGAAAGCTGCATAAGGTTCCTATTTACGGCCACATCAGAACTGGATATTATGGCACGAAAACATTTTGAAAAGAACGAAAGAACTGAAAGACTAACGGCACAAATTTAGGCGAGTTTGAGACAAGTGGCAACACGTGTCAACTAAATTCCAATCATTTTTGTCAGTTGATCAAAATGACGTGTAGTCTCGTATTATTGGGATAAAATGCAGTTCCAATACGAATAATGAACTCCGGAAGTTTCTAAAAGATGGATTTGTTTAAACTCTCCAACTGGTGAAAGCACGCAGCCGAACTAATTTGCTGGCCAATAGGAGCTTGGAAATAGGACAACACGCAGGTTTTATCACTGACAAAAATTATTAGAGTTTTGATGAAAAGTGTTGCCAAGCGTATTATACTCACCTGATCTTTTGTCTTCAACTTTCACTTGTTTCGCTCTCTTCAAAATTTCTTTCGTAGTATAACATTTAATTCAGATGAAGGCGTAAATCAGCACCTTGTTCGATAAAGCTAGGTGTAAGTTTTTAAACAGTAGGGGCAATGTACTACGGACTGATAATTTTTCTTTTGTAATAAAAAATGAATATAGAAAATATAAAAGAACATATAACATAGAAAATTTGCTTCAAAGTGCGAGGGCGATCCCCAAAAAAAGGTCTTCTATATTTTTAGATATACAAAGAACCGTTTATTTTCCTATAATTGCTACATCACTTTAAAGATTGAAGCATGCTGTATTTTTCAACATAATCGTCATTTCGGTCGATGCATTTTTGTAGACGCTGTGGCAGTTTTACAATGCCCATGTCATACCAGCTTGCCGCCATGCCCTTCAGGAAGCGTCAATCGAGTCCAAGAAGTTCTCCTTTTCGTCTCCATAGCGGCGAAGAAATTCGCGGGAAGAATCAACACATTGCCGTTTGTGGTCTTCTGTCAGCATACGCGGCACCCATCTTGCACACACCTTCCAATATTGCAACTTTTCCGTTAAAATCCTGTGAATGGTGCTTCTGGAAACCTCAGGAACCAAAATGCAGAGAGCATCCAGAGCGATCCTCCGATCTTTACGCATGAGTTTCTCAACTTTCGCGATTGTCTCGTCGGCAATTGACGGCCTCCCGCTCCTTTCTTCGTCATGAATTTCAGTACGACCTGCTGTAAACTCTCTACACCACTTGCGAACGTTTCTGACATCCATGCACGACTGTCCATACACTTCCGTCAATAGGCGGTGAATTTCAACCGGTTTAACGCCTTTTGCGTTCAAAAATCGAATAACTGCGCTCACTTCGCAATTGGCGGTAACGTTTATCGGGAGCTCCATTTCGAATGGCTGCCAAGCCAAGACTGAACATCCGAGCGAAGCGCCTGCGTGCTTATGTGGTAGCGGAGAAGCCACCACTCACAACAGTGTTGCCAACAACCGTATTAAAACTTTCTGTACGTCCCCAAAAATAGGAGACCTTTTTTTGGGGGGATTGCCCTCGTACATAGAAATCTTCGAAGAAGATAGGCAGCTTGCATCATGACATAGCAGGCAACCCAATAAATATCAGAAATGTTTCAATTTTCATAATTGTCCTATATTTATATTTTGCTCCATAAATTTAAAGAGCAATTTAAATATTTCTGCCCTTCTGCTCAGATTTCTTGCTGTTATTATCTACTGTATAATTTTCACCAGCATTCATTCTACTACCCACATTCTCCACTGACGCCCAACAAGGATAGTGGTTATTGAGTCCGACTGCCTTTCGGTGAAAAGAGAATCCGAGTTCGAATCTCGGAGAAGGCGTGAATGTTTGTGAAAGTATAATGTCTGTGCAGCATGGGAGCACTCAAAATATGCGGCGATCTAAATATCTTCTCGAGATGTTGGCGGCAGGGGTAAAGGGGTGCGAGAACTTCAAACCCGTTCTCCTCCAGCGTGCTCTCCTTCAAAATTGCGGGAGAAAATGAGCTTCTAAGTTCAAGTCGTACTGTGACGTATATGATGCAAAACCCCTCTATTGTGGTTGCCAACGACAGACACAAACCGTGGGCTTGTAATATAACTCAGAAAAGCGAGATAAGTCACAACAGCAATTTCCAACTTTAATTTCATTTAAAACTCAGTATCATGGATCACCTGAATTATGCATCAAAAATAATTAAGCTGAGCTGACTAGAAATTCCCGTCTTCTTGGTCCTATTTTTAAACGATACAGTAATAATATTTAAGACTGGAGTCGTTTCAAACCGTAATAATGATGGAATTATAGAACAAATGTTTCATACAATACTTAGTAGTTTCTGTTTTTACATAATAGAGAGATATTTGGTTATAAAGAATATTTTTTGTTAAGGGAAAAAGAACGTGACTGCGGTACCTGAAAATGAGGTTATTAATTTTAATTGCAGAGGAATACAAACTCCAACTAAAGTTTTTTTCCCTAGGGAGAGTAAAGACATAACGTTTTACACAATATTTTTATTAATTAATTAATTTATTTATTTAATTTACTGTCATGCCTTTTGAAAACGGAAAGCTAGCAATCCATAATTAGGTCATTCTACATACCTGTTTCGCATTTTCTTCCGATGTAAGGAGGTTTGCAAGAGCAGTTATAATCTGTTTTAACCACCCTGCATTTACCATCATTTTTGCATGGATTTGGGTTGCAAGGACCTGAGGAAATAGAGAATAATGCAATTTGTTTTCCTATTTATATATTAAAAATAATTATAAAAGAAATAATAATATTTTGATGTCTGAGTAATAAGCAAGTACTTTTTTCACACAATTTCCCAAAGTAGGGAGATGGGCATTTACAATCATGTTTTCCATCAAATACGCTACATCTTCCGTCATTCTGGCAAGGATTTGAGCCGCAGGGATCTAAAATGTTAAGCTAGAGATTTAAATTCAATTTTATACTCCTTTTGTTCAAACACACACATTTAAAATCATTATATTTTAATGGTTACTATAAAGAAATACCTATTTCACACTTTCTTCCTGAGTAGGGGTATTTACATAAGCAGACATAACCGTCTTTATCCACTGTGCATTTACCCGAATTCTGACAAGGATTTGGACTGCAGAGATCTGAAAAAGTTTGATAAGTGCTCAAAGCCTATTTTTTCAATTAAGAATTAAAACACACATACTAATTTAAATCTATTACCTGAGAGATGAAATAAAAACAAATAGATCTTTGCCGTATTAGGGCTACGTAAAGAGTTATAGAAATGTATTTATATTTGGGATCAATTGCACAACATTTGCCGCCGTTACGACGAGCACTGCGATTATGAAGATCAAAAGTAGAAAATTAAAATTCTGCAATTACTTTTCTTTTCAAAATCTGTGTTGTTCATAATTTGAGAGTTTGATATTAAAATAAAATCAAATATTGGGTTTCAGAGCTTTCCTCAGTAAATGTACTCTTAACCACACAGACCAAAAAAAGAACAGCATGACAATGAAATTAACGGACCACTGAAATGAAATCATTTCGTAATCTACAAATTTAAATTGCGTAAAGTTTGTAGGCGTTATTTGTCTTCTAATAATTAATGCAGTATAGCAAAATATCGTAATAAATCCTTGCTATTACCTACAGTTTGTAAATATTATTCAGATTAGTGCTTGGTTAAGCAATAGCCAGTGTATAGCTAATAGTAACGTTAGTCAGATTTGTAGAGTATTTCAAATGGAATTCGATGTAAGCCTTTCATTTCGGAAAAGAAATGTTTTCTTTGAAAACTTCTGATGATGTCCTACATCTGCAAAAGCCTATTGGAACAAGCTGAAGAAAGAAGTGGGAATGCTTTAGACGAGCATTTATAAAAAGAAATTTATGACTGCTTTTCATAGCCTTGCAGGTAATGAATATAGATTTTGAAACATTGTAACACCTTTAATGGATTCATCTAAGCTTACTCACCCGCAATCAACTTGCGGTGTTAAATGGATTCTAAGGCGCATTCTCACCACTGCATTTTCCAAACTCGAGAGTAAACAGACATAGAAATAAAGTAATTTTTAAATTATTTGTCATCACTTGTAAGGTTTAAATAAAAAAATATAATACAAATTAGCAGTCCACTGGCTTTTGCTCATTTGCAAGCTTTCTTCGAAACAGATAAGAATTAAAATAATTTCTTCTATCCTAGCCGAGATTACAAGCTTCGGATAAGATTGCAATAGAGATTCAAACATTTAACTTAACAGCCTAACTTTATTTTACTTAGTTCGGGACCAGTGTTAGAGTCTCCAAGAGAGAAGTAAACTTTTCACAGCAACGAAGTGACGGCGAACAGGCCAAAATTTGCTCATTGCGCAAGTTTTTATAATGGTGAAACTGCGCTCGCCTCTCAAATCTACACGAATTCTAGAATAAGCGAACTTTGATGCATAGTGAGGCAAATAGGAGATATATAAATTAAATTACATTTTATTAATGAAACTTAAGCATAAATGCTTCAAAATCGCGTTCAACAGCATTTTAGACAAACGCGCCTCCAATTCAGTTATGCCGAAGTCTAGGCTATATGGATTCTATGGCATTCTTAGCCACGCGGACTTCTAGACTCAGGTTGGGCACTAGAGGGATAATTTTACTGATATACGTCTCTGCGTAAACTACAAATAACAAGCATCCAGCATTTTAAAGATCATAAGTAAATTGGAAGGCAGAAATTAAATAGAACGAATCCATTTCTGGTTATTACGCTAAATAACCAGAAATGCACCTTATGCAGAAGCTAGAAGCACAGTGAATAACACCGAACAGTATTCAAATACACCTTATATAATTACTGTGAAATCAGTAACATTAATCGGCATGAAAGCAGCGTGTCATTAAAAAACACACACAAACCTCTGAAACCACATAAGAAACCTTAGTTTAGCAGAAAACCAGAAGCAAAAGTATCTGTAAATCTGAAAATATTATAAAGCAGATTAAGCACCCAAAGATCTATAAATATTTGCCAAGTCTCTTTTAAGAGACTATACTAATGAACGTGACTATGAGAGTATGGAAGTAGAAGAAGGATTAGAATTACGCAAAATTCTGCTTTCTTTTCGAAAAATGTAGCAACATTAGCGAACCAAACTCTCTTATTGGTTAACCCAACAGGCGTGAAACTGCCTTACCGTACACCACGATTTTGATAACATCAAGAACCCGGCTGGAATCCACCGTCACGATTCCTTTGCTGTATAAGAAACGTGCTGAAAACGTGATCAGAAAATTGAGCTTCGGAGACACTCATTAGTACCAAATGACTGAAAGAATAGCGTGGATCATGTTACTAGTGGTGTGGATTTAATAAATACGTCAGAATTATCTTTCGAATGCCTTACAGTTTGCAACCTGCCAACAGACATTTGCTGCTTAGGTAGACATAAAAATGTTGCTCACTGTTTGCTCATTGTAGGAGCTTCCAAATGAAAGCAATAGTCAGAGAAACTTAAATAACTCTGTTGAGCAATTATCTACACCATACCTAATTTTAGCTAGCTTTGATGGACATAATCTTCTGTTTGGGGGGGGGTTAAACTTAAACTCAAGCAAATAGAGGAAAATAATTTTGTATTTACGAAATAAAGGTGACAATCCTTATTATATCAGAATAGAAGAATACAACCATGATATTGATTCGACCATTTTCTCTCTAGCCTGTCCATGTCTACTTGACAGAAGCAATGGTGAATGAAGCCTTGATTGATGAAGCAACTGAATATGTCAAAGATACTGTAATCTAGAATCAGAACGCGTAATATGTCATTTAATAAATTACCAGCGTATCTAAAACAGCTGTAGAACCACAAACGGAAGGGAACTTACAGAAATCAGAGATTTGGTTTGATTTATTTAATTATGGCAAAGCTATCGAAGGCTATCTGCCCAAAGTGAGGATGCCTTCGTGGAGATTTTTCTAAGGAAAACTGGCTCGTATAAAAGTTACACATGACGAAACCACGAACAAAAAGGCATGAAGCCAGGCCTTTCTCAGGGATTCGAGCAGAGGTCAGAACTACCAGTGGCCAGCGAATTAACCTCTCGGTCGTTATTGAGCAGTAATAGACTTCGGGAAAAACATGGACAATCATTCGACATTACTGTACCATTACCAGCCTCTTGACCTTCAATAAGGAAAATCGCAGAAACGAAGAGTGATCCAAGCGCAGCTAGAGGTATTCATAGGTAGGTAGTTATGGCGCGGTCCACCCTCCCGGCAAGCCCAAGCTCGCCTTATGGCTTTTCTTGACTGGCCATGAAGGAAAAACATAAAGGACAACACAATATGAATAAACGAAGGCACCAGCAGCCATATTGTGTGTTCTTTGTAATTTTCTATTCCAAATGAGATGAATGTTTTAATAATTCTTTTCATAATCTCTTTTGTTTTGTTTTTTGCTTCGTTTCCAGTATAAACCGCATTTTTAAAGTCCATTTTGCTATTCCTGAGGTCTTTTGTTAAGTCACATTTTTGCTCATAGTGCCTGTTATTTCCCAGCTTTCCGCATAATAAAGAGTCTGCGTTTCCTTTAATTTTGAATCTATTTAGGTAAGCCGGAAATGTACCGTGACCTGAAAGGATCTGACAAAGGTCTTATCGTCGGGCCGTTTCGCCGTCAAGACATATTTTTCTTTACACGACTGTATTATATCTTGCCGTATTATTTTAAGTTGAATTAAACTAATAACTCTGTTCAGTTTAATAATTTAATTTAATTTAATAAACATTTGAAAAATATAATATATACAATGTTTTTTGTGTACAGTTTTAGACAAATACAGCGTTACACATGACATATTAATTTTAAGAGAGTAAGGTGTGGAAAGGATTCCAGTGTAATTCCGTTTTCCATTCAGATTTCATAAAAATGTGAATTTTCTACTTGTATCAGTGATTTATCTGAACTAGCCGATTAAAATTTCAAGAAATTTTGACTAATCATGACGAAATTTTGACGAATTTTGTACACGCATAATTTTAAAATCGATAATATAACTTCTGTTATATCAGATGTTTAGCCCCACTTCTCTTTGATACTGATGTAATTTTCCAACTAAATGTGTCTTTCTTTATATCTCGTACTTTCTTTATATCTCGTACAACTATATATATATTAATAAAACTTTATTAAGTATACAAAAGGTAAAAGATAATCAGAATTATTAAACTAAATAAATTTAATACGATTATAATACGGCATGATAAAATAGAGTAATGTAAAGAAAAATATATATGTCTTGACGGCGAAACGTCCCGATGGCGAAATGTCCTAGACCCGTCCTTTCTACGGACTGAATCTCTCCATTTTTTTATTCCATCCTTTATACATATTTAGGTCAATTTACCTTATTGCTTTCCGTTTAGATCCTCGATAATCTATTCTTTCTATATTTACCTCAGTAGCAGGTTCTTTTGCAAAGGCGTCCGCCTGCTCACCTCCCTCGCATCCAGCGTGCGCTTTCGCTCAAGAAAGTTTTATTCGGCGTTTTGAGGAAAGATTCCTATACAGTTCTTTCACTTTTTGAATACCAAAGCTCGACTTATCTCGGCTAGACAGGCTTTCTAATGCTCATACGATATCAAATTAATCTGAATTTTATGGTGCCGTGACAAGTTTCCTTTCATCCAATTCATCGCTTTTAAGATGACGGCTAATTCGGCTTGATAAACAGAGTTAAATTACTCTACTTTTTATTTTTTATTTCCCATTTTACATCTATGAAAATATACAACAAAAGCCAATCCAATGCTCTCTCAAATCTCGGAACCATCCGTATATATGTCTATTTCTCTTATTGTTGGTGTCTTATTAATATAAGGGATCGATATTCTATCCATTGGGCGAATCAAATTGATATTTAGCTTTTCAAAGGCACTTCCTGTTACAAAGTAATCTTCGTAGATTATAAAATCTTTTTTGCTAGTCCTTAATAAAATAATTCAAAAAATATATATATATATAGGATAAAGCAAGAGAGGGTGGATGCCCGACAACACGCACAGCACCTCTGTGGAGATAGTTCTAAATGGTCGGGTCACGCACAGCAGCCAGCTTCTCTGTATTGTACCTAATTT